GCTCACAGCAACCTCCAACTCCTGGGCTCAAGTGAGTCTTTTGCCTTCACCTCCCAAGTAGCTGAGACCACAGGCGCCCGCCCCAATGCCCAGCTATTTTTTGGTTGCAGCCATCATTGTTGTTTGGCGGGCCTGGGCTGGATTCAAACCCTCCAGCTCAGGTATATGTGGCTGGCGCCTTAACCGCTTGAGCCACAGGCGCTGAGCCATATTATATATATTTTAGAATTTTTTCTAATTTCCTTATGATTTCAACTCAGATTATTTCAAAGTATGTTAAATTTTCAAATTTTGAGGCTTTTCTAGCTATCATATGGTTGTTGATTTCTACTTTAATTCTGTCTTGATCAAAGAATATATTCTGTGATATTTGAGTTACTTGAGACTTAAATTATAGCACAGCATGTGATCTTTTTTGGTGGACACTGAAAGGACATTTTGTTTTCCAGTTTTGGATGTTGTCTGTTCTAAATGCCAATTAGTTTAAGGTAATTGATGGACTTATTTAGATCTATTACTGATTTTTTTTTTTGTCTCCTCCTTTATCAATTACTAAAAGAATGGTGTTAAACTATTTAAATATGATTGTCTTTTTCCTTTAGTTTTGTTACATTTTGCTTTATTTTGTTCACACGTATTTATGATTTTTATGTCTTTCTGTGGAATTGATAGTTTTATCATTGTGAAAGGGACTTCTGTAAGTCTGAAGATATTCCTTGATTCTGACATCTCCCTTGTACGATATCGACTCAGCAAACTTTATTGTATGTACCGTTTGTGTGGTGTATCTTTTTCTGTTCTTTTGCATTCAGTCTGTCTGTGTCTTTGTGTTTAAAATTGTTTCTTATATATATAGTGTGTACTGTGTCTTGCTTTTTTACATATTTTGATAATTTCTACCTTTTTGGGGGGAGAATTATGTCTTTCATTTAAAAAAAATTTTTACATCTACCATTTTCCTATTTTCTTTTATGTGTTATATGTTCTGTTTTGCTTTTGCTTTAACTAACATTTTAATATACCATTTTATTTCCTGTCTTAGTTTTTTAGCTATTTCTCTTGTAATCAGTGTATCTTTTACTGTTTGAAAGAATTAGTATGGAACTTACATCATTCTTCACAAATATCAGAATCTTTTTTTATTCTCTATTTCTTTTTAATTTCTTTAGTTGACAATAAAAATTGTACATATTTATGTACCATGTAATGTTTTTAAATATGTGTACAATACTGAGGAATGGCTAAATGGAGCTAATTAGCATACACTTTACCTCACATACTTATTGTTTTTTGTGGTTGAGAACCCTTAAAATCCAGTCTTAGTGATTTTTAAGGAGAAATCTTAAAATACTATAATTCATGTGTAACTCCCCCTTGCCGCTTTATGTTATTCTACATTTTAACATTCACATATGTTATAAATAACTGAATGCTTTACACAGTAATTTATCTTCAAAGGAAATGAATATCCATGCATTTCCTATTTTTAATGTTCTTCATTTCTTCTTCAAGTTTCAAATTTCTATCTGTATCACTTCAGCTTAAAGGACTGTTTAAAAAGTATTTGTTGATTTGCAAGTCTTCTGGTAACTATTAGCTTTTCTTCATTTGGAAATGGCTTTCTTTTACCTTGTTTTGTAAAGAATGACTTTACTGCAAGTAGAATTCTGGGTTGAAAGTTTTTTTTTTCTTCCTTTCATTGCTTTGAAAAGACCGTTACTCTATTTTCTTTTGTTTCGGTTGAGAAGTTAGTTCTCCTATATGCCATGTGTAGTTTTAATTTCTACGCTTTCAAGATTTTTTTTATTTTTGGTTTTTAGAAGTTTGGCTATGATGTGCCTGCGTTTAGTTTTCTTTTTACTTATCCCTTATGGGATTCTTGAGTATCTTCAATTTGTAGGTAGATGGTTTTCAGCAAATCACGGGAATTTTCAGCTTTAATTTTTTCAAAAGATTTTTTTTGGTTATATTCCTTTTCTTCAGTTTAATAGGGTTTATAGCTGTTTAGTAGTTTTAAAATCCTGTCTTCTACTTCAAATGTCCAGATCATCTTTGGATGGTCTTTGACATCTTTGGTTGCCTTTGACAACTTTGTTTCCTGGCTATGGGCCCCATTGATTGCTGCTTTGCGTGTGTGATAATTTTTAATTGTATGGTGGAGATTGTATATGACTATTTTTGTGAGTCTGGGCTTTTTGTCTTCTTGGAAATGTTGAGTTTTGTTCTGGAATGCAGTTCCTTTACTCTCAGAGCTGCTCTTGATACTATCTGGGTTTGGTTAGGCTCTAGCTGGCCTGTGGAGAGTAGTCCTTACTGTTTGTCAGTCCTTCCTTTTCAGATTGTCTTTGTGATGTCTCAGCTGCATGTCGGGCCCTTAATGAGGTTCCTCCCCTATAAGGGGAGAGCAACTCTAAAGTCTCTCAGCACTGTCTGGCTTCCAGTATCTCCATTCTTCATTTAACCCTTCAGTAGCCTTTTTCTGCTAGATTCTTAGAGTATTCCCCTGCATATGTGTAGCCCAGCCTTCTGCCTTCTGCCTTACTGCCCTACTGCCCCTCACACCCCTCTGCTAAACTCCCTTACTTAGGGTTCCATGTGTCACAGATGCCACTCCCTTCAGCAGCTGCAAACTCCTACCTGTGATCACTGTGTGCTGCCTGTACTGTTACCTCTTTTGCTATGATCAGGAAATTGTTCCCAGCCAGCCAGCTTGGATGAAGGGGAATTTACCTTTGGTGTTGTTTTCCTTAAAGGTCACAGTCTGTACTGTGTATTATCTGATGCCTGCAACCCAGTGCTTCATATGTTTTATCTGGCGTTATCGTTGTTTACATGTCTAGTATCATGGTTGAAAGCAGAGATCTTACTCGTTTGTGCTGAGCATATTTTTTTCCCCATTTTTTAATTTTAAGAAGTAACTGAATCCTTGATTTCCTTTGTTTTGTTTTAATAGTTTCTTAGATATTTAAGTACAGAAATAAAGGGTAATGGTTAGTTAATCTGAGCGTCTACTCTGGTTTGACTTAAGTGGGCATCAGTAAGTAGCAATGATTGAGTGCCTAAATTTTTATGTGATCTAATTTCCCAAATGTTTGTTTTCAGATTCTCTTTGTTGACCAGTCTTTTTTCCTTCATATTCTAGCTCTCTATCAATATCAGCTCACACCACTGAAAAGATAATTTTGAAGATATGTTTTGCTGAAAAGACAACTGAGAACAATTTCACGAATGGGATGAACACGCCCCAGTCAGTTGACTACCTTCTGCAGTTTAAATGTTAACGTTACCCACCTGGTACAGTTACCTAGTGATGTACCCTATTTCATTGTGCTTGTCTTGATTAAAGAATTCAAAGTGGAGTACCGCAAACTTGATATGGATAATAAAAAGAAAGACAAAGACAAATCAGATGATAGAATGGCACGACCTAGTGGTCGATCGGGGCACACCACTCGAGGAACTGGGTCTTCATCATCTGGAGTTTTAATGGTTGGACCTAACTTTAGAGTTGGAAAAAAAATTGGATGTGGCAATTTTGGAGAATTACGATTAGGTAAGACTATTTTGTTTATTATGTTAAAGTCATTTTTAAAAATGGAAGATACTTTTTAATGGAAATGATACAGTTATTTATTTATAGTATCACATAATTTAAAGAACACAGATGTTAGAAATTTCTTATGTACTTGTATTTCCATTTGTAAGAAATTCCCTCGTATAGGAACGTCTATATTCTTGCAGTTACCCAGAATATGAGAAAACAAGAAAATAAATTAAAAAGGCTCAGCAGGCAGAAGCAGTTGCTAATAACTTAAAGTCGAGTTAATACATTGAAATGTCATAAAATTAATGCAATTTACATTTTATAATTTATTTTTTCTTCACCCTTCCTGCTCCATTGCTCCCCATAGGGTGGGGTTCAAGAGTCTATGTTCTTAACAAGGGATGCAGAGTATTGACTCAGGTTATTATAATCAGGTAAATTTGGGAAACTCTACATTTAAAGCAATTAAAATTCAGTGAGGGGAAAGTTACTTGTCAGATGTCCCTAGCAATTTAATGACAGATTCAGGATCAAAATTTAGGTCTTTTAACCACTAATACAATAGCAATATGGCTTTCTCCATTGAAAAGAAACAAGAAGAAGGTGGTATGGTTTATAGGAGTTACTGTTGAGGTACCATGAGCGTTCCCGTTAGTGGACCATCAAGAGTGGGAACTTTAGATGCAAAAAGAAAATTCGACTTGATGATTTTCCTTCGATCCCACCCTCTTCCTGCAAATGAATCCAGTTGTATGTTTATCTACTCAGCCACTTCTGCTTTTATCTTGTGAAGCACCCTACTTTGTGATGACGCCTCCGTCGTATTAGTTTTTGTGTAATTGAACGAAGCAAGCCAATAAAAGACAATGATAGACTTTGTACATAGTTGTAACATGTGCTGGAAGACTGTATTGCGTTTAGTAGGGACTCTTGAAAGGGTGAATGTTTTACATTTTATTTTTTGAAGGATATTATATTAGCTACTGGGAAATACTTAAAATATTTTTGATTTTAGAGTTAGAGAAAACTTTCTTTACTTGTTTATAACTGTTATTCTTGTGTATAACTTTGAACAACCTCCATCCATTACTTATTGTATGTCTGTCATGGACCAGACATGATTAGGCACCAAGAATACACTGGAAACATATAGAAATAGTCTCTGCCATTGTGGAACACATAGGCCCCTTTACCACTGAGGGCCTCACATTCCTCCACTTTACGGTGGGATTATTTCTACTTTCTAGGTCATTATGAGTATTAAATTTAGGTGAGAACGTAAAAAGACCAGGGCTATACTTGCATATACTTTGGCCATTTTTATTCAAAATTTATTTCATGTAATTTATTTCAAAATATATTCGCACACGTAAATACTTATACATACATGTATGCGTGTATATGTGTGATTTAGTTCCAACCAGGGCTATCTGAGAAGCTACGTGTACCACAGAGTGAAACTACAGAGGGTGCCAAAAAAAATGTATGCACATCATAAGAAAGGAAAAAGCTATTAAAATTGTAATACTAACAATACGCTGATTAACAAAAGATGAATACAAGTCACGTTGAGCACCTTTTGTAGTTGCAACAGTCAAATGTGACTTCAGTGTATTTACTGGACACTGAAAAAGGCATAGAGCATCCCTCTCCCCCTTTTTATGCAGTTTGTGAACAAACAGGAATAGAAATAAGGTGATTTCTTAGTATATCTACCTATGTCTCTATCTGTTTAATCTATGTATGTGTGTTTGGTATATACATACATGTGTGTATATTTACATAAATTCATTTAAATATATTTATGGCCTGCGTTTTATGTATATTTATAATATATAATATGTACATGTAGAGCTAATTTAATCATCTTATTTTTCCATTTTCATAGACTTCTGAAGGAATATTTTACTGTTTTTTTTTTAAAGTTCTCAGATAGTTTTTGGTTAAGAAGAAGTTATTATGGGTGTTATCCTTTCTATACTTGGTTAACCAAATGAGATGTTAAAAGCTAGTTTGGATTTTTAAAATGCTTTCTTTAAAACCTCATTAATAGACACTTCTGAACATTTGGCATTTGGTTACTAGTAGTGAAATTTTTTGTGGTTAGTATTGAGTAAGAAAGACTAGAACGTACACATATTATAGGGGAAGGACTGTCAATAAAGGCGCTCTCAGTACTTTGGGCTGCACAACTCTGTATTTTTGTAGAAGATGGTCTCGTATATACAGTGCATTTAAAACTTTAGACCTCTTAGGTACTGAATTGGAGTTGCACACAACCTTACACACAAGTCAAAATATTCCCCCTTTACAGACCCCTGAAGGAGAAACTGTACTACTCACTGTTGAAACAACTCTTATAGGTAATTAAAACAAAACTTGGCCATGAGATTAAAGAAAACTGTTTTATTTTTGTTTGGACTCTTTTTTTATTTTAAAATGATGAATTCATGTGCAGATGCTCGTCAGCTTATGATGGGACCACAACTCGATAAACCTATTGTAAGTTAAAATATTTTAAGTTGAAAGTGGACATTTTGTAGACATGTTGTGACATGAAGACAGAAAACACAATATTCAAAAGATGCTGGCAAGGCAGGACCCTATTATAGAATATTGATCGCTTACTCTAGGGATTGTGTGGCTGATTGGGAACTGTAGTTAGCCAGGAAAAGATCAAAATTCAGCATTTAGGCTCGGCACCTGTAGCTCAGCGGCTAGGGTACCAGCCACATACACCAGACCTGGTGGGTTCGAATCCAGCTGGAGCCTGCAAAACAACAATGACAACTACAACCAAAAAATAACCAGGCGTTGTGGCGGGTTCCTGTAGTCCCAGCTACTTGGGAGGCTGAGGCAAGAGAATCGTTTAAGCGCAAGAGTTTGAGGTTGCTGTAAGCTATGATGCCTCAGCCCTCTACCCAGGGCAAAAGCTTGAGACTCTGTCTTAAAAATAAAAAAAATCCAGCACTTAAAGTCAATGCGTATTGCTTTTGCATCTTCATAAAGTCAAGAAATCTTAAGTCAAACCATTGTGAATTACGGTCTGTCTGTAATTGTGGTTTTATTTTATCTTTATGTATTGTTGGTAAGGTTTGCATTCTGCACTGGAATATGTATTTCTAGTTTAGACAGTCAAAACTCCCAGGATTGTTTTGACTTGCACCAAATGACACCCAGCATAGACAGCTAAAATATAAGGTTCTATTGTATGTATTTTTATTTTTTTTTAGAGACAGAGTCTCACTTTGTTGCCCTTGGTAGAGTGTCCTGGTGTCACAGCTCACAGCAATCTCTAGCTCTTGGGCTTAGGCAGTTCCCTTTCCTAAACCTCCCTAGTAGCTGGGACTACCTGCACCTGCCACAAGGCCCAGCTATTTTTTGTTGCAGTTTGGCTGGGGCCAGGTTAAAACCCTCCACCCTACTCACTGAGCCACAGGCGCCACCCATGTATTTTTAAAGTTTTCTGTGTCTTAAGATACTTGGATATTTTACAAAACCTTTGTGACTAGGGAGAGATTACCCCTCCTTGGATTAGCCAATTCTTAAGAGTTAGTAAAAGGCTCATTGCGCCTTTGACATGCAGGCTAACCAATTCATGTGCTTTTTCTGTCTGGTCAATGCATCCAGGAGGCAATATTTCTCTGCCTTGATTGTCTGAGAGCCGTGTACCAGGCAACTGGAAGCCGTCCCGATAGCTCAGGGGTCACTGGAATTACTCAGACTAGCAATCCTGAACTGTTTATCCTGCCTTGTCTTTACCCCAGTGAAGACTTTGGTTTAACTCTGCACTTGCTTCTGTCTTCTGTCACCTAATCAAACGTGGTGCATCCCCTGTAACCTTGTGTGGTATTCAGTGTGACCCCTCCCCATAAGGACTTGCGAGTATAATAAACTTAGTTTTTTCTTGAGCCTTTCCTGTGTACTCTTGAGGCCACACCTGATTAACCATCACATAGCGCAAAGATGTTATGTATTATTTTATGAATAACTCTGTCTGGACTAAAATATTATAACTTCTGACATAATTAGGTATACTACAAAAGCATCCATCACATACCTTATTTTTGTTTCTTTTCCTATTCCCACATAGCTCATAACTCTCCTTCTTTTATTCATGGTTGAGAATTGTTTTGTAGAAAATTCTGTAGCCCTTAAAGTGTATATTAAGTAAATATGTAGATTTGGGTGGGTTCATCATTTTTATGTTGATTGGTTTTCAACTACTTCTGACTGAAGCGTATGATAAAATCTGTCTGAAAAATGTGATAACTAAGGAATAGACTATAATGATGTAACAAAAAAATCTCAAGTATAGTGGTTTTAAGCAAATAGTTTATTTTTATTTTGTGTAACACAGCCCAGAGAGCGAGCATCCAAGGTATTCAGGATTCTTCTCTTGAATTCCATCCTTATGCCAGCTATATTGAGTTTATGAGACCTGTGCTACTTAGCATTATTATGAATGTTTGTTTTCACTTATTTTTATACAGTAAGGACAACATTCAGAAGAGAATTATAATGTGTTTATGAATAAACTATTATAAAAAGTGGCAACCCATCTGAGGCTGAAATTTTGCCTGGAGGTTAGGGGTGTTATGCTGGAAAACCACATGTATCAAAGTTGACAATCACCTCTTCTGTGTTCAGTAGCCAGTGTGACCAGGGACATTTACTCACGGTTGGAAAAAAATATCTGTCATTGTTCTCTTTTCCTGATTACAGAAGTAATACATGCTAATTGAAAAACATACTGGAAATTCAGAATCACGTGTTGTGCTGTTTTCATTTTTAAAAACACAGTTACAAAGACATGTATTATATATTAAATTGTCTTCATATCGTCCTTGCTACCAAAATTCCCCTTAGTATTCTGCTTGGGCTACAGATTCTGGCCCAATGACATTTTCTAGAGTATTTTGCCAATGCCAAAGTTGACCACAATTTGATTTTTTTTACATGTCAATGGTACATGTATTAAGTCTATATTCTGGTTTGTCTTATACCTACACTTTGTATGTGGTATTTTTTTTTCAACATGAATGACTTGGGAATATGTATCAAATCTATGTAAAATCTTCTGATCGTCTCTTTTTATCTTCTTACACTCAGAAAGCCATAATACCCCTATGTATAGGGATATAGGAATGATAATTTTTTTTCGTTTTATACTTATATTTAACTCTTAAAATATTTCGAATTAATTTGGTCATAAGGTGAGGTGCTCATAACCACTTTTCCTGTCAAAATAGTTAACTAGCTTTTCTCAGCCAGTTGTTGAATAATAATTTCCTTTTAATATATTTCAGATTTTAAAAATATATTTGACATACTAATATTTCCTGAATTAAATGTGATTCCGAATAAGTTCATTTTCTATAACAGTGAAGGATTTAAAGTAAGATGGTAATTGGGAGAGGAATTTTGTTTTCCTGTTACTACAAAAGTTTTGGTTTTGAAATTTTTTTAGCATATGTTTGACTGTTGATTACTTTTTAAATTGTATACAAATTCTAACAAAATCAGAATCTTCCTACTTTTGTATGTGGGCTAAAGTGCTTATTAGTATCTCTTTATACTCCTTATCCAGATAAAATACTAAATACAAAATTGAGTTGATTATAAATTTAAATATTTCTTTGTTATTGAATTTTTTGCTAAATAGACACATAAAATTATGCTTTATTTAGATGTATTGTATGCTTTCTTGTTCAGAATACAGTTTTATAATATATCTTTTAGAGTTAATTATTGATGGAATCTGACTTTATTTTCTTTTTCAAGGGAAAAATTTATACACAAATGAATATGTGGCAATTAAACTGGTAAGTTCATGTTTCTTAATTTTTCTTAATTACTTCCTTGTTACTTCTTTAATTATTAACTTATTTTAATTTTTGTTTGTTTGAAAAGCTGTATGCATAGTTCATCTTTCGTTATTACACTCTTGACTTGATATACCCTTCAAGTTTGTGCTAATGTGTAGGGCATTTGTGATTTCCTGTGCAATAACAATTCAGTCTCTTTTCTTTAGTAGTCTTATAGAATTGAGTTTTTGATTTTGGCACAATTTTTAATTTTGGGAAGGATTTTTAATTAAAGAAAACTTAGAAAGCAAAATTTATTCTTCTGATTCAAATACATAGTTTTTTATTTTATTTCTTTATTTTTTAGAGACGGGGTCTCACTTTGTCACTCTTGGTAGAGTACTGTGGCGTCACAGCTCACAGCAACCTCTAGCTCTTGGGCTTAGGTGATTCTCTTGCCTCAGCCTTCCGAGTAGCTGGGACTACAGGCACCCACCGCAATGCCTGGCTATTTTTGTTGTTGTTGTTGTTGTTGTTGCAGTTTGGCTGGGGCTGGGTTTGAACCCACTACCCTCAGTATATAGGGCCGATGCCCTACTCACTGAGCCACAGGCACTGCCCCTGATTCAAATCTTTAGACAAAAGTATTTTAGTATTTATGATTATGTTCTTTGAAAACATTCCCAGGCAGCTTCTGAAATGGACATCCATATATGGTAAAGCAGACCTACTGCTTGACTTTCAAGTATTCAGAAATGTTTGATGTGGTAGGGGATGGAGGGAACAAGAACTCCTCCGATATTATTCTCAAGTCTTAAATGTGCCTACTATGACAACTGCCAGCAGAACTGGGATCCAGGAATAAGGAGTATTGGGATTCAGGAATAAGAATTGGGATCTAGAATTCTTTTTAAAAGACATACTTTGATCTGGCACAACTTTTCTGTTTGGTTTGCGAGCCAGGTTTTCCTGAGGGTTATCGTGGTTTCGTTCTTCTTATCTGCCTGCCTTTGCCAACCCTTCCTCTGCCAATATAACTTCCGTTATTAGGGTAATGTGAAATAAATATATAAAGGAGGGGCCAGTAGGAGAAGAGGCAAGTGGGAGGCAGTAGAAAACTTCAGATGAAATGAGACTCTGTACTACTTAATTTTAAGTATCTTTGTGCGTATAGACTTACATTTTATGTGATCAATGCTGTTTATCTCACTGGGAAATAAATATACCTATGGGGTTGTGGCACCTTCAAGAGAGACTTTGTTGGCTGACATGTGACTTCAGCCTGGATTTACCTAGATGAGTTCATCTATTAAAGTCTGGTTTTGGGCTTTATAACGCAAAATTTGCTTAGCTCATCTCATCAAGATTGTCACTGTTTCTTGGAGGTAGATTCACACAATCAAGAAATCAAAATCCCAGAAATGTAAATATTCAGCAAAGTGAATTTCTAATTTATAGTGAGGTATTTGACTATTATAGGTCCAGAAAGCCCAAATTTTTTCCTATAGGCTGATCTACATTGAAAGCCAAAGTTAAAATTACCAGGTTTTTTGGTGAGTATGAAAATGGGACAAGGGGAGTTAGTGAATATGAATCTTAATAGGGAGGCCTCTTTGATTTCTTTGACATTCTTCCTTTTCTCAGGTACTAGGTGAGGGGTCTTGAACCTAGGCATTGTGTGGCTTGGGGGTGGCAGTGGCATGTGGGGTGGAAGGATGCCACGTGGTGTTGCTACAGCAGCTTGCAGTGAGCAGCCCTACTCAGGGAGCGTGTTCTGCATGTGAATGATATTTACCGTATGTGTCAAGGGAGATGAACCATTGTGTCAGAATAGTAGCGTGCTCTATGATAACCTTGTCTGTTTTTCTCGTTAAAGTGATGACTCTTAGGTCCTGTTATTTCAGATTTGGAGCTTATTTACCTGGTCCAGACCATTGAAACTTAGTAAACATTTGCTATGTCACCTTTCAGCCTTCTTATGTAGACACACATACATCTTTTTAAAGTTCCCTTTTGTGCCATGTCACTATCTCCTTACTTACTTTTCTCCTTTTTTGGAATTCTTCCTCTTATTTATCCTTTTCTAAAGCACAATGATTGGCACAATATATAATAATTATAATTATTCAGTGTTCTTTGGGGGAACTGGGGAATATTTCTCGATCTGTGTCTCTAATATTTTGATGTTGGAGTGTAGTAGTCATGGTCTCCTCAACGTCATCCAAAAAACGTCTTGCAAGGACAGACAAAGTTTTAGAGATGGTTGAACCATAGTTTGTTACTTAGTTTGCTAGTTCTTTACATGTTTTTTTTTGTTTGTCAAAATCTGGCATTATAGCAATTACTTGAAAATGTTATGTCCGTGTACTTTCATTGCTACTTGTTTTTTATATTTTGGTACAAATAAAGGTGTTATTTGAGAACAGGGTGTTTGGAGAGCAGATTTCAGTGACTGCGTTCAGCTTCGTCATCTCTTACAAAGATTTTTACATTTGTCTAATATTGTCCTTGTTTAGATTGACAGTTTGTTTCAGGATAATTTGTCAATTTGACCTCCATCACAGTCCTCCTGTAGTTGTTTGCACGTGAATAACGAAAATGCCATCCTGTCGTAAGGTGACCTTCGTTATACCGCATATGTTGTTATGATAAAATTTTACATCCAGTACGGTACTGGAATAAAGCTCAAACAGCTGAGTCAGATCTGGTTTTTATTTTTACCTATAGGGTATTCGTGATTGAATAAGTTATATGTTTAATTTTTCATATTTCTGTTACATCTTAAGGTTATATACTTTTAGAGAGTTAACTGAAGAATTATAGGTAATGTAGCACTGAGTGTGTGTTTTAAGTACTGTGTGTATATTATGAGAAAGGTAAAGTTTTAACCCTATTTTACAGATAAAAAAACTGAAAAGTACGGAAAGGTTAAGTAACTTGCTAAAAGTCACACAACTGGTAAGGCGTGGATTCAGGATTCAAACCTTGTATAATTTACTTTCATTATCTGTGTTCCTACATACAGCACAGTATCTGTCACAAACTAAGCTCATTTTTTTTTTTTTTTCTTTTGCAATTTTTGGCCGGGGCTGGGTTCGAACATGCCACCTCCGGCATATGGAGCCGGCGCCCTACTCCTTTGAGCCACAGGCACAGCCCACTTTTTAAATTTTTCTTTCTATTTTTTTAGAGACAGAGTCTTACTCTATTGTGCTCAGTAGAGTACTGTGACGTCACAGCTCACAGCAACCTCCAGCTCTTGGGCTTAGGCAATTCTCTCGCCTCAGCCTCCAAGTAGCTGGGACTATAGGCGCCCACCACACGGCCCAGCTATTTTTTTGTTGCAGTTTGACCAGGGCCAGGTTCAAACCCACCACCCTCGGCATATAGGGCTGGTGCCCGACTCACTGAGCCACAGGTACCGCCCCTAAGTTCATTTTTTTCCTCTTAAAATAATCTGCATGATTATAAGTTTTCCAGTGGGATTAGCAGTTGCTTATCTGAAGACTTTGTTGATGATCATAGTTTCCTTATGATGTAACTTGGTATAAATTTCTTTTTGGTTATCCTTTTTAGGAATCACATTCCTGTTCATTTCTTGAATATTTACAGCAGTTATTTCTTCACTTACTGCTTCTGCTTATTTTTCTCTTTCCTTTCCTCTTGACTCTATTGCTAGTACAAGCTAAACCGTCTTAAGGTATTTTCCAGATCTCTTTATCTTTTCTTCTAGGTTTTCTATTTTTTCTTCCTTCATGATGCATTCTGTGTGGTTTTTCTTTTTTAAAATTTAATTCAGTGATTCATTTATTTTTTGAGATGGGGTATCTTTCTGTTACCTAGGGTGGAGTGTAGTGACATGATCATAGCTCACTTCAGCCAACTCCCAGACTCGAACCCATCCTTGTTCCTCAGCTCTCTGGATAGGTGGGATTATAGGTGTGAGCCGCGGCATCAGGCTTTCTGTATGGTTTTTCTATCTGCCTTCCAGTTCCTAAATCCTCTCTTCTGTTGTGTTAATCTGCTGGCAAACTGAGTTTTTAATTTAGTTACTGTATTTTTATTTTTCAAGTTCTGTTGGTTCCTTTTGAAGTTTTCTATTATCTTGTTGTATTTTCTGTTGGTTCTTATTTAAATTTTCTTTGTTAGCCTGTTATACTTTTCCTGTTTCCTATAGATGTTTTTCTACTTATAATATTATTTCTAAAGTCTAAAATCTGTGTTGCTTCTGTGAGTGTTTGTATGTGTGTGTGTATATTTCAAAAACATTTATGTTGGTGATAACTATAAAATCAGACTCACAAATATAGCCTATACTGATTAGATGAACTCCAACACGACATAAGTAATCCAAAGGTAATAAAAGTCAAAAAGGGATTACCTCTGAAGAAGCGGTAATGGAAATGAAATAGTCAATAAATAGATTGTTTGGTGTGGTAGTTGTAGGGGTAATGGGGTTAACAAAGCTCGTGGATCTCCCACATAAGAACCTTGTGTTTTGTGTGTATGTCATACCTCAGTTAAAAACATTTAAAAAGTCAGTGTTGTTACTATCATAATTTTCATATTGTCATCTTTGTTCTTTCTTGCTTTTCTGTGACTTCCCTTTAACTTACAATTGTTATGTGAGGACTGTACATTCCGGGGTGAATTCTGGAAACAGGAGAAATGTATAAGGGTCACTATTTCCCTAGTCATGAATGTTCAGAGCATAGTGTTCTTCAGGTTAGGGCGTCAGACATCAGAGATTTTCCCCTTGTTTGATCTAATTGCTACTTAACTTTACGTACATTTATGGTGTTGCTTTATATTGAACAAAAAGTTGATTTTTATATGGCTCTAATCTAAGGAAAAGATGGCACAATATATGTGTTGACCCCAAAATATATAACATTTGCAATTGAGGCCTAGAGATCTTTTAAGTGATCTTTTAATAAGTTAAATATTATCTTTTTTTTTTAAATTAGGAGCCTATGAAATCCAGAGCACCACAGCTACATTTGGAATACCGATTCTACAAGCAGTTAGGATCTGGAGGTAAAGTTTTATAGTAATTTTAAAATTTGGAATAAAATAGGTTGTCATGAAAATAACTTTTTGAAGTATTTCTTCTTTTTCTATTGTCTGTAAGATTTGGCATGATCATTTTTTTTTAAATTATCTTTTATTTGTATTTATAAATATTGTCTATTTTTTGAGACTTTGGGAAAAAAAAATAAGAAGTTAACTGATGACTCCATACTGGACCTCACAGTCAAAGCATTCTATAATAGACATACTCTTATTTGACAATGTGAATGTTACCTTTTTTTAAACATTATCATTATTGCTCAATTAAAAAAATAGAAAATAACTCTTTAGTTTTAATGAATGGTATTTTAAGTTTGTTTAAGAAAAGTCACATCATAAGGCTATGTTTACTAGATGCTTTTTTTACCATAGTCTAAATGATCCTTTTTTTTTTTTTGTGAGACAGAGTCTCACTCTTTTGCCTGGGCTAGAGTGCCATGGGTTAGTCTAGCTCACAGCAGCCTTGAACTCCTGGTTTTGGGTTAGTCTAGCTCACAGCAGCCTTGAACTCCTGGTTTCAAACTGTCCTCCTGCCTTTGCTTCCTGTGTGGTGGACCTACAGGTATTCATTATAACACCCAGCTAATTTGTCTATTTTTAGTTGAGATGGGGTCTCATTCTTGCTCAGGCTAGTCTCAAACTCCTGAACTCAAGCGCTCTTCCTACTTTGGCCTCCCAGCGTGCATGAGCCACTGTGCCCTGCCTAATGATCCCTTTTTTAAAAATTATGACAGATTTGGAGTTTTTTATATTGGTATGAATAGAGAACATTGTGAAAATAATTCAATTTGAGAATATAAAATGCAATTTCCATATTGTTAGCCTTTTTGACAATATTATATTATGGTAGGCTGAAAAATAGCCCCCCAAAGATATCTGCATCATAATCCCTAGAACCTGCAAATGTTTCTGCATGGCAGTGATGTTACAGGTATGATTAAGTTAAGGAATTTGAGATGGAGAGACTTTTCTGGATTGTCTGGGTGGACCCTAAATGCAATCACAGGTATCTTTTAAAGAGAGAGACAGGGGGACATTTTACAGACAGAGAAAAGAAGTGGGCAATGTGACCATGAAGCAGAGATCGGAGTGATGCACCCCGAAGCAAAGGAATGCTTGGTGCTATAAGAACCTGGAAGAGACTTGGAGGATTCTTCTCCTTAACCTCTCAAGGGAGAGTGCCACTGCCAATACCTTGATTTGGCCCAGTGACACTAATTTTAGACCTGGCTTCCAGAACTGTGAATGAATAAATTTCTGTTGCTTTAAGCCACTAAATTGGTAGTAATTTGTTATAGTCACTCAAGGCAGTTAATATGGGTATATTTTTACACAAACCCTAAATTTAAGTGAAAAGAGATACTTTGTGCCACTGGAGACAATTAATGGAAAATTTTTCTATAGTATATCACATTTCCTTCATATTAAAGCTTCTTACACTTTTAGTTTTCTGTATACTTGTATTCCACTAATTGTAAGTGATTTTACTTGTACGGTTTCTTATATAAAATAGTAAGAGTGTGTGTGTGTGTGTGTGTATATATATATATAAAATATGGGGGTTTTTTTGGTAGTTTTTGGCTGGGGCTGGGATATATATATATATATATATTATATGGGGGGTTTTTTGCAGTTTCTGGCTGGGGCTGGGTTTGAACCTGCCACCTCCGGCATTTGGGGCTGGCACCTTACTCCTTTGAGCCACAGGCGCCACCTTCTTCATATACTTTTTATAAGTTTATTTACATTCTAACTTGTAGAGCTGTTTATTAATACCGATACCGATTCTGTATTTTTTTAAGATCATACTTTGTCACTGAGTAACCACTGTGGGGACAATAAGTTTGTAATTTTGTATTAATGTGTTCATCATTATGGACTTCTTATAGTGCATTTGTATGTCTGATACAGAGGCCTCAGGAAGTTATCAACATTATCACTGACAACTGAGATTTAAAGGCTATGGGTATAAAACTAATTGTATGTTTAACCATACGTATTAGTTAGGACTAGCAAGTAAGAAGTTAAGGTGGGACAGAAAGAATTTACTGACTCATATGCTGGAAATTAAAGGAAATATCCTGATAGAAAAGACATTGCTGTATCGAGAGGTTCAGATACTATGATCAGCCACTTGAGTCTCTGTGAAGTGTAAGCTTTACTCTCTGGTGTGCCTTCTCAAGAGATGGTGGACCTGGCCACCAATAATGTAGGATTAGCAATTATGAAAACAACTCTTTCTTAAGAATTCTAGCAAATGTTGTAGGACTGAATCTCACTGTCTTATTTGGAGGCTCATGCTTTCTCTTGATTTAATCACTGTGAAATTGGTTGCCCAAAGTTAGATCAGGTAGTCATCCCAGAGCCACCTGAACCTCAGAGACTAAGAATGGGGAGCATTGGTTGCCCAGGATTCAAGGTATATAAGGCGGCTTGGCTGCTGAAGAGATTGAAAACAACAGTTCTGTCTTTAGTAGTAAAATTGTCATTGGGAAAACAGGATTTTATTTTGTACAAATCCTGTAAATTTGGGGTACTTTTTGTGTTTAAGTAATCATGAATTGACAATTTTTTTTTGACCAGCAGTGTGATCTTTGTAGAAAAATGAGACTGCTTATTTGTATTGGGGAGACTGATGACTTTGAAACAATTTGATTTTGCTGTTTATACCTGAAAAGATTATATTTTCAGTCTGCTCTTAATAATAAATGAGCCATTCAGTATAATTTAACCTGTAACTTTCCTATGGTAGGTTAAATTTCATTTAGACAGCAATTTGTTAGGATTCGTTTTAACAAGATAGGTATATTTAGTTAATATCCAGAATATATAAAGAACTCCTAAAACTCAACAGCTGAAATAGAAACAGTCCAATTCAAAAATGAGCAAAAGACTTAAACAGACATTTCTCCAAAGATATATAAATGTTCAATAAAAACCTGCAAAGTTGCTAAACATCACTTGTTAATAGGGAAATGTAACTCAAAATCATAATAAGATAGTTCAAACAAAATGAAAAACAGAAAACTGGTGTTAGTGTAGCTATGGAGAAGTTGGAACTCTTGTACATTGCTGGTGGGAGTTCAAAGTTGCAGTGAAGTAGGATTGTGCCCCTGTGCTCTGGCCCAGGCAACAGAACACAACCTTATCTCCAAAGAAGAAAAACCTTTTTTTTTTTTTGACATCAGATAGTTGAAATGGGCTACATTGGGAGAAATTTGCAATTAATTTACTCCTTATAATTTCTTTATTAGTTGATGTCTTTATCATAAGAAATAAAATAACCTTTTTCTGTCATAAATTACTTATCAAAATAAGTAAATAACCCTTTTCGCTGTCATAAATTACTGTTTGCAAGTCTCTATAGAAATCATATTAAAAATCTTTTTGAGGATATGCACATATTAAATCATTACTTTTTAAGTGAATGGCTTGACTTTTTAAGGCTCCTTCAACTTTATAGTTATAAACAATAATTTTATGGTAGCATATTGGCTGTTACTGAAATTGTAAGTCTTTGTAACGTTGCCTTCTGAAAGGTGTTAGGAAAGCTTCCCTTTTCTTCTTTAGACTGATCCCCTCTGCCTTCTTGATTTGTACCTTACTAAAAAAGCAGGATTTGTGTGTTTCCATGTTTTGCTCTGGTTTATAGACACCTCCATTTTCACATTCTTGTTGAGACTAGTTCTGTGAGCTAGATAAATGAATGTTGGTGATTTCATAATGTAGAGACATTTTATCATACTGTTTAAAAGGATTGTAGATAATAGTGTAAATTTTATGCAGTTGAGGATATAAAGCATCCAGTAATATCTTAACATTTACACAGTTACCAGACACATTTTAAGAAACATAAGAAATTCTGCTCTCTCTATATTCTATATGTTTCTATCTGACAAAACTGAAAGTAAGTAAATATTATAAATAGCATGAAAATGAAGTAAATGAGCTAATTGGAATATTACTTTATTTTGTTTTTCTTTATTAAATCATAGCTGTGTACATTGATGCATTAATGGGGTTCAGTGTACTGATTTGATTGATACACAATGTGAAATTCTTACATTGAACCAATTAACGCGTCCATCACCTCTCTTATTTGTTGTGGTAAGACAGTT